TATAACATTGTATATATAACAATTCATAAAAATAAACAGATTTTATAAATATTTTATATATACAGTGCAATTTTATGACTTTATATTTTACAAATTCTTTATATTCTTTATATTTACAAATTCTAAATTTTATTTTGTATAAATTTAAATAAAATTTAAATAAAATTTAAGAGAAGAATAAGAAAGAAAAATAGAGTTATTCAAATAGCATAAAATAAATTCAATATTTTTTTCATCAAATCAATCAATTAATCAATAATAATAATCATTATAACAAAAATCAAATCAAAATAGAAAAGGAATAATACTGCGAATTGGATTTTTGGATAATGAAAATGTAATTATAATGTATGCATCGGAAAGTAAAATATAAATATTTGTTAATATAAAAATAAACATTAGAATGGCAACTTTCAGTTAACGAAAGTACTAAAATATCGAAAATACTAACCTGCCAAATAAACATTAATGTATAAATCGTTCGTTATTATTCATAATTTATTCATTTCTTCCACAAAATATAACAAATCCAATGATCCAAAAAAATCTTGTGTAAATAAATTATCGAAAATGGATCAAATAAATAAATTAATCTAAAAACACGAATGTCTGACAGATCGCACTACGAGGTGCAACAATCACTCAAAACATGATTCAAGGTCATTTGTTGACTTTCTTTCGAAACTTTCCGATACTACATTTGCTATTTTAAAATTCGTTTGAAAACAATGTTCAATTTACCTCCATATTAATGAAATATCTAGAAACCACCAAAATGTTGAAGAATTATATGGTATGATCTTGTACACACGTACCTACATACGTGGCGAATATATATGTGCAGTCAATCACGATCACGATCTCTTGCTGATGGCTGGTGCGTTGTTTTCGATAACTCAAGTAGATAATTGTTTCATGTCAATTCACTCACTTTATTTTTTGAATAGATATCAATTTTCATATATTTACTGTAAGATTTTGTAATAAAAGTTTATCAACATTCTTACACGAGCACACTCTAAAAGTAATGACGTTTTTACGAAATAACAAAACGTCAGTAAATCTGTATACACGGTCACTCGAGGGCGCTTGATATGTTGTATACACTTTGTATAGAAAAATATATCTATATGCATAAAAAATATTTGAATGTATTCCAATAATCACACTTCTATTTACCTTTATTTAGCTCTTTATAAATTTTTTAATTAATTTTTTAAACAATTTCTATCAATAATAAATTTAGCTTAAATTTAGCTTTTTTTTTTTCTATATCTTATCTTCTTTTTCCATTATTCCTACCTTTTTTCTCCCACTTCTATACCTTATTATATGAATAACTTATTCTGTATGATTGTATTATATTGTCATGTATATTTCCATGTGTAAGCAATCACTTTATATTTGAAAGTTATTTTGTTTAAGCTTAGTAAATAATATTTATAGTTAAAATAATTTTTCTTAAGTACTTAAATATATAATATGAAAGTATATTTTTAAAAAGAGAAAAAAAATTCATATATTGTTAAATAGTGATTATTAATTCATTGCTAACCTTTCTGATAACAATATAACAGCAAAAAATGGAAATAAATAACGAGGTACGTTTTGAATATATTTAATAACCTTTTCATTTGTTGAAATTAATAAGCAAACAATTGATTATAATTATTTTAGTTATATGATATACTTTATTATTATTTATTGATATTATTAATTTTCTAGATTATTCTATTGAGACAATCCGTTCGTCAAGCTCGCATTTGTGTAATAAATAAATTAATTAGAGAAGCGAAAAGGTTACGTACTAATAGTAACGAAAAGCAATTGGAAAAAAATAAAAATAAAGCAGAGAAACTTTTAAAGGAAGTATTTGCATTAAAACGTATTAAAGATGATGAAATATCAAAATTCGGAATTATTAAGTTCGAATATCTACAGAATATATTACAAAATCCACAGACTGATGATGGAACTCGAGCTATGGTGAAAGTTGTTCGTCATAAGTCTTTAAGTTTGAGAATAATAGAATTTCAGAAAAAATTTCCAGATTATAGTAAATATATTTCTTGGAGAAAAAAAAAATCTTCAGTGAAAGAAAAAAAAGGAAATTGTTATATAGATTCAGAGAAAAATTCAAAACGATTAAAAAATGATGCAAATAACATTCTAAAAAAAGAAAAAAGACAAAACTGTTTCATAGATTTTCCAGAAAAAAATTCAAAACAATTAAAAAATGATTCAAGTAATATCATAGAAAAAATAAATAAAGAAAATATAAAAGATGCAGACAATATTAATTGTATTGCTTATATACCTTGTCAACAAACAATAAATGTTGAAGAAAATAATGATAATTCAATGAAAATATCAAAAAATCAAGATATGGAAATACAATCTATAAATAATGATCAAAATTTTAAAATTATTACTAAAATCATTAGTAATGAGGCCACTGTTAAAAGATTCACAGAAATTTTACAAGAAACAAAAGAACAAAATTATATATGCAAAGATACTGAAAATCAACAATCTTTTAGTGAATCCATGGAATTCATGGATTCATCAAATAAAATAGATGATTTCTTTTTACCTGCAAATGAAGTAACTTCATGTTCAAATGAAGCACTTTTTTCTAAAGAGAAAAATATGTACAGTGAACAAGTTAATCGTATATTTAAATCACGAAAAAATGTTCAAGTTGAAAACAAGAATAAATTATATAGTAAAAAAATAAGCAAAGAAAAAAGGAATAATAGAAAACAATTTATGAATAATGCAAATTTTCACAATCCAAATGATATGATAGAGAAAACTAACACATATAGAAAACAAAATGAAAAAAATATACAAGTTGAAAAAAAAAGGAAAATTAATAAAGAGAGCACATGTATTGTGGAACATGATAATTTACATCCTTCTTGGGCTGCAAAAAAAAAACAACAAAATATTATGAAACAAGAATTTCAAGGAAAAAAGATTAAATTTGATGAAGATTAAAAAACAAAAAAAAAAAAAAAACAAATACATATATTCAATGCATTTTTTATGCTTTTTTTCTTAATTAAAGCATTTTATTTGTTAAATTAAGAATTAGTATGTATTTAGAATAAAAAAAAATTTAATATTTTAAAGTAAAATTAATTTTTTTGCAAATTGAATGTAGTTCAAAATTATTATTAAGTCATCAATAACTATAGGATATTGTATATTTTTGTTTTTATTTAAATAATTTAATTTGCATACAAAAGTGAGTAAGATATTTCATAAAAGTCATATTGTAATTGAAAATGTATTTTCGATTATATGGGCGTCCAGCGCTTAAAAATGATTTTTATAATTTCTGTATGACCAGTTTGTTATAATGATGATTCTATTTTTCTTTCTCTCTTTCTCAGTATATATTATATTCGTTGTTAATTAATTGATTTTTAGATTCATCATATTAATGAAGGTCATATAGGAACATATATAATATATATCAACGCATTTTGAGGCATATCTATTGATTATAGTCGACAATAATTGTATTTTTCATTAAACAATTGAGAATATTTTGTTCTTACTCAAATATTATACATTATAATATCATATGTATTAATTATAGAATCATAAAAAAAAATAATTATAAAAATTTTATTTTTATGTTGACCAAATTCTTTATAAACCGTTTGCAAATCAATTGAATTTAATATTAATTTTTTCCACATTTTTTTTGTTTTACATGAGTTGTTTTAAATTTATTATTTAGGTATAGTTTTATATTATAAAATAGAGATAGAATTTTTATATTTTTTATAAGAAATTATTAAGAAATATTTTACTTTTTCTTAAATTATAATATATGTAGTGTTTACATAACATCTTTACAATTTATATATATATATATATATATATATATATATATATATATATATATATATATATATATATATATATATATATATATATATATATATATATATATATATATATATATATATATATATATATATATATATATATATATATATATATATATATATATATATATATATATATATATATATATATATATATATATATATATATATATATATATATATATATATATATATATATATATATATATATATATATATATATATATATATATATATATATATATATATATATATATATATATATATATATATATATATATATATATATATATATATATATATATATATATATATATATATATATATATATATATATATATATATATATATATATATATATATATATATATATATATATATATATATATATATATATATATATATATATATATATATATATATATATATATATATATATATATATATATATATATATATATATATATATATATATATATATATATATATATATATATATATATATATATATATATATATATATATATATATATATATATATATATATATATATATATATATATATATATATATATATATATATATATATATATATATATATATATATATATATATATATATATATATATATATATATATATATATATATATATATATATATATATATATATATATATATATATATATATATATATATATATATATATATATATATATATATATATATATATATATATATATATATATTTATGATTATTTTTGTTATATTTGACAAAATAAGACAATAAGATAAAAAAATTCTATAATTATAAAAAATTTAAATTTATTTAATTTTTATAAATTAATTATTTAATTATAAGAAATTATTTTTTTAATATATAATAAGGATTTCTTATTATTGTTTTTTTTTTTGTATAAGAAATTTTATATAAAGAAATATTTTTTTGTGAAAATTTTTTCATATCATAGTTTTTAAAACTTTTTTTTTAATCTTTATATTTTTATTATACTTTTTTTTAATTGCATAAATTTCTAACAAGAATAGGAAAGGTTAATTTATTATAGAAAGGTTAGTTTAATATATTTTGTAATATCATTAGAAAATTTGGGAATAAAGTACATTTAAAAAGTTTTTACATATATAATATAATATATTTAATCAATTTGTTTCTTTATGATATAAACTACATATAATTTACATATTTGTATTTTTTTTTCATTCAATATAATTTATTTCCAAATTTTCAAAAAAATTGTATATTACGTTAATAATAATAACTTTTAAAATAAATCAATATTATAAATAATTGATATCATATAAGATCTTTTTGTCTCTCATATTATAATTATCAATAAGTATAACTAATAGTATTAATGAAAAATTTACCTTCATAAAAATCTTCATTTATTATTATTATATTTGTTACTATTATCCGATATAATTTATTAAAATAATTAATATAATTAATCACTTGTAAAATTTCATTAATATCATTAGTTAAATTGTGCAAAAGGGTTTAGGAAATGGAAGATTTTTACAAATTAAATAAAACTCGAACTATTGGTTAAATTGTTATATTCAGGCTGTTGATATATCCAATGTGTATATAAAAGAAACGTGATGCCGCATGCGCTGGATAATATATACAGCCTGAATGGAAAATCGCACGAAGAAAAGTATAGCAAGTGTGTTTAGTAATCCAGGATTACTTGTTCTTGGAAAGAGTACGTTGTTTTTCCGCATGCGTAACAAGTTGAGAATCCACAGGTAAACCTTTGCGTCGACGGACTGCATCTATATATTTCTTAGCTTTATTTTCACTATCTGCTTTGTCACCAAAATGTAGATATTCCTCGTCCGTGGAAGGCGTCCAATAAGGATCTTGCTCGATTATCTACAAATAAAATTATTAATATTATATTAATTTATATAATATTATTATTATTATATTATAAAATTCATTTAATGCTATCAATACCAACCAGTAATAGTAGTAATTTTTTAATATTGATATTTTTATAAAATTTTTATTTTTAATATATGACACTATATAAATTATTAAACGCAATAATAGTTTAACTCGATAATTTTAGCTTTTAATAAGATATGTATATATATATATATATA